CTGACCCTCAGATTATTATGATTGTTTCGCTAGTACCATGCTGTTTTTATCCTGGTATCTTTGTATTGTAACTTGTACTCTGGGATTGAGATTCCTCTGTCTTGTCTTTGTTGCCTAGAATTACTTTTGTTATTCTAGGTCTTGCTGATTCCAAATGAATTTTAGGATTGTTTTCTCTAGTTTTGTGATGTATGGTATTGATTTTCTCAAAAATTTTGAGAAGGGTCTTGCTATGTAGTACAGGCTGGTCTTAAACTCACTATGTAGCCTAGGCTGGCCTTGAACTTGATGCAATCTTTCTCCCTCTGCCTCCTGAGTTCCAGGATTACAGGTGTGTGAGACCATGCCTGGCATTGAGTGTTGACTTTTTATTATGCTCTGCCACTGATTTTCATTATTAAATCTAGGAGTCTTTTGGTGAAGTTTTTAATGTCTTCTATGTAGAGGATCATGTCATCCAGCAGTAATGATAATGTAACTTCTTTCTTTCTTATTCTTATTCCTTTTGTTAAAAATATTTTTTTTTATTTAAAAAAATTATTTGGTACAGGTCTTACTACACAGCTCAGACTCATAGTGATCCTCCTGTTTTCAGCTTCCCCAGTGCTGGAATCACAGACATATACCACCATGCCTGGTTTCCTTATTCCTTTTATATCTTTCTCTTGTCTAATTTCTCTAGCTAATCTCTCCAGAACTATATTGAACAGGAATGGTGACAGTGATGGTGACAGTGGTCATCATTGTCTTGTTCCTGATTTTAGGGTGAAAGCTTTTTTTTTTTTAAGTATTTTTATTTTTTAAAGAGAATAATGGTTAAAAAACATTAGAAATGATACAGAATTTCACTAAACAAAATAATAGAAATGCAACAATGGTTGTTATATTGTATATTGATGTCTTCAAAGTAGTTGTTCAGATTACTAGATGTAAGCATGCAAAATTGGTCAAAAAAGTTACAAAAAATTGAAAAGGAGAGAGAAAGAAAATTTAACATTAACTGATGCTTTCAATAGACCAGCATAAATCAGCAGTACAATTATCCAAGCTAGCCTATATATATATATAGGCTAGCTTGGATAATTGTATAGCT